TTTCACTCTGAAGATCCTCAAGACCCCATAGGATTATTACTAGCTATGTAATAACCCTTTTCTTGAGATTTTCCCCTTAAATTCTTCTAGGGATTTAAACCACACCTGTTCACAGGCCCCAGTGTTCCAGGTACCTAAATCCTCTGCTTTTGCATGATACCTTAGAGGGATTAAACCACCCCTGATTCATCAGGCCCCTCTGGTTTTATTTATATTAATTTTATTAATATAAATTGGCCATTTTTCCTACTAAATTTACGCCATAAATTCCTTATTTTATTGGAATTTATTCCTTTAGAATTAAAACCAAAAACCTTTAAGCTTTTTGCTTGCTTTTGCTCCACGTGTAGCTAGAAGATTATACATCTTGGCATCACGTAGGCTGACAAAGAAGGTGGGTATCCGCGGATACCCGCCAGTGCCAGTGGATGCAGATGCCTGATTCCGCTGAAATTGTCAGTGGATATCCGCATCCAACGTGACCATCTCTAGTACCTCCCACTATCACCCCCCCCCCAAAAAAAAAAGAAATGTCAGACAATAATTTGGATGACTGAGATTTTTGTGATTACATACACTGATAAAAGGGCAGTTGTATGTAGAGCTTCAAAAAAAATGACTGATTGGCCAAGCAACTATGTCAATGGGGGGGGGGGGCATGTTTGACACCAGTGCCCAAGTTTGTGAACACCCACAAGAGGTCAAACCCCCTCTCAGAATTCACAGGGACCTGCAGGTGCAATGTGACTGGAGCAGGGCCGTTTGGCCTGCCCACAGCCTCGGGAATGTGTGGGGGCTGGAAGAGGTTGTTTGTGCTGTTGGATGCTGTCTCAATTCCGGCCATCTGCACACCCAGATCAACTCCCAAAACACCACTACATTACTTTGCATTACAACCTCCATGCTCCCTTAAGATAGCACAGTTCTCGTCTGAACTTTGAGCCAAATTTAATGACATTTATATGATTGAAATTTTACAAATTTATCAGAAACCTCAAATTCCTCTGAACTTGATGTTTCATGAAATTTTACAAAACTCATAAAATTTTATCTTCAAGTCCGTTTAGAGATGGCAATGGGTACCCGTTTGCGGGTACCCGGTACCCGTTTGCAGGTACCTGTTCTTTGGAGCGGGTACCCGCCCGCGGGTGCTGGGTGCGGGTGCGGGTGTTGAGTTTTGGGACAAAAAACGGCAGGTACCCGGGTACCCGCCTTGACACCCGCCCTGACACCCGCCCTGGGAATACAGTTTTGGGCTTTTTGGGCTGCACAAAGGTGTCAGCAAACTATGTAGGACACCATTTGGTGTCCTACATGGGCCTGTTGAGGCCAGAGGGAACCCTCCAGCCTTCAAGATGATAGATCAGAGAGAAGATAAAGTGCAAATTAGTGATAGGATATTTTGTTCTTCTTTATTTCTTTATTTTTATGTTCTTACTCATATATCTAGTGAATATCAATCATGCATTTGGTAAGTCATGCAGAAATTCAAGGGTGAGATTTCTGGGGATATATGCATGCAAAAATGTGCCAGGTACCCGCAGGTACCCGGTGCAGGTACCCGGGTACCCGCCCCTGGCGGCCCTAGCAGGTGCGGGTGCGGGTGTGGGTGTCAAAAATATTGGATTTTTGAGGCAGGTACCCGCACCCGCTACAGGTACCCGGGTATCGAGCGCCATCTCTAAGTCCGTTAAAAGTGGCCTTAAACTCCAGACGTGAACCGGCCTAATGCGTTGAAAGCCCCTTGAAGAAGTGTGTCTCTCTTTCCCCCCCCCCTTCACGACCCTACATACATATACAAACTAGGACCCAGGAAACCCCCTGTAGACCACAGTAACCAAAACGTCAAAATGTATACAACCACTTTGACTTAACATCAGATGTGATATCTGGATAGTTGCCACATCAGGACATGTACATACTGAAGGTGAATCCAGCCCATAAACTTTTTAGTGGTAAATCCTCACCAGTGAGCCTTGAGAAGCAAAAAACTAAAAAAAAAAAAAAATCTGAAAAAAAATTCATACATTTTTTTTTGTAGTTTTTCAGTTATTAAAACTCACTGGTTGAGGGTAGCCACTAACGAAAACATGGGAATGGATGCCACTGTATTATATGACACGCGCTGATGTGGCAACTATTCAGTATCCCCTCTTATGTTAGGTCAAGTAGCTGTCATGTTTAGAAGCTCTGTTTACATTTTGGTTACTGTTGTCTACAGGGGGTTTCCTGGGTCCTTACAAACTCCAAAAAAAAAAAAGAGAGAGAGAGAGAGAATGACAGAAGAAAGCAAGCATGTGGTCAGGTGGATTGTGGGTCTCTGAGCACGAGTCTCTGGCGCTTGACGATTTCGATCCGCGTTCGAGTGCCGGTCCATTGTTTCCACCAGCCCCGGACCGGCATGTTATCCCACATGTTTCTCAGACACGGTGTGGGATGGATAGATCAGAAAACCAAGTGGAGGACCAACACATGTAGGAACAGTAACACTTGGAGTCGATCATATTTTGTGTATCAGACAATCAGTATAAATAAAGCAACAACATATCTCTAACACGTATATCTATATATATATCTCAGTAGCACCGTTCACAATCTAACACCAATCATAAAACTAGCAGAGTCGATCCACATGCTCGTGTTTTTGTTTTTTGTTTCTTCAAGCCCGCCCGCCCCCCCCCCCAAGAAACCAAACCAAGCCCAATAACCGCCATCGATGCGCAATAAAACAAGCAACGTATATATATGTAAACCAATAAACAGAGCACTAAGGACAAGCAAGCCCATCAATATATACATATATATTTAAGCCAACCCCACAAAGAAGGAGGATGGGGGAACAAGGATGGACCGGGAGGCCTGAATGGGCCGCTGGAGAGGGCAGCCGACCGACCCCAAAAGAGCCCTACAGCCGATTCTTAGGGAGAGTACTACGTTGACGGGGAGGAAGAGGAAGAGGGACATCCTGAGCTTGCAAGCCACGAAGCTGAGCGGGGTCCTGGTGGCCCAAGCAGCGGATCCAGGGCGCCACTCTGCGGGTCCGTCGATGGGGGCGGGGGCCCGGGCGCCGCTCCGACCGGAATCTGCCTCTTCTTCCCATCGGCATCGTCGTCGAAAGTGGTCGACGTGGGTCGTCAAATGGGGGGGGGTTGGAATTAGGAGGAGGAGGAGGAGGCAGAT